AGTTGGGGAGATTCGAAGGATCATCGAATAAGCGGGTGAATCCCCTACCGTCGCTAAAGTACGTTTCGGAAAATCGAAACGGCCGAGGAGCAGGGATCGAGTCAAGAAACGACAAAAAAAAGGCAAGCCCCCTTCACCAAGCGTGTAGCCTTTTTCACACCACGGTCCGGACCGTCTTCTGACGGTACACCCCGACTGTCCGTTCGCGAGCAAGGGTTACCTCACACACACCCCTTTTTTTTTCCCCTTTTCTTTCATGTGCTGTCTTGCCATTTTTCTTTTTTGATGACACAGGGGACCGCCTGCGGGGTGGTGCCAGTGGGTATGCAGCCATCGCCACTTGGTTGGCCAATGATTCTCAGAAGTTGTCGAGTATCGACCACTTCGATGGGAAGCGAGGGATGCATCGCGCGCAGGCACGAAGATCATCTGGAGAACCGGGAGGAATCGAACGCAGACGCTCGGGGGATGGGAAAGCAGGTTGGATTCCGCGGGATACCGCGATCGGATTGGGTGGTTGGGGACGCGATGAGGCGAGAAGGGGAGGGACGTCGAACGCGGGGTTCGATGCTTGCATGGGCTATCGACGTTTTTGGCACTGATCTTTTTGACGCCGAGGCCTCCAGCACGACAAGGAGTAGGCAACGGAAGAACGGGATGGCAAGGAAGCAGACGAAGCAAGGGTCTCGAAGCTGCGCAACAGGGACTTCGCTGGTTTAAATAGGCTAGGGGCACGGGCAGAACACATCGAAAGACGCTCTCATGTGTTCGGGAGCTGAGTTGACGGTGAGCTCATTCAACCTGACCAACGGGAGAGTCTGCAGCGGGGATTGATCGGAATGGACTTCTTCGTGGATCTTGACATGTTGGAGGAGCCGGCCGACGGCGAAGAAGTGGTATAGCTCCGACTACACGATTCCTGCATGCGGCAGCAGCAGCAGCGCACGACCAACATGGCCGATCACGATGAAGCGCAGGGGTCATGCGCAGCGTCCACGTGTGCCTTCATAGCGTATTTGGCCCTACTAGCTTGCATAGCGCTACTATGCTTCATCACAGCTCTCCCTGACCCGAGCACCTTATCCGCCATACCCCCCCCCTCTACAACAGCATGCCCCCATGCGGACGAGCATGCGCCTCCCCGCGCTGCGAAGCAAGCGTCATCATGCTCGCACCCCCGCACCCCCACCACCACCACACTGGAACCCATGCACTCCACGCAAGATCCGCTCCCGGCAAGTGACGCGCAGGATCCATCACCGCCTCGCCACCCCGACGAACAAGCAGCACCATCGGGCAAGGCACTTGCATCCTTGGTCGGGATCACATTCGTCTTAGCCGCCTTGCCAAATGCGATCATATGCGGCATAGCGATATGGGCATGCCAGTCGGAGCAAGTGCTGCTGGCTCCGGCGAGGTTAGCCTCTGGGGTGATCTACCTCACGATCGGCTATGCCTCGCTGTTCATGACGCTGACGATAGGCGGCGCGATTGCGGCGTATGCTAGCTTTTGACCCCCCACGCCTCCTGCATGCTCTGCAAGCTGCTCCCCTGAGCTACCCTGTGTAAGAACCCTCGTCTGCATGTGTTTGTAAACCCCTCGTAACTGTCTCGCCCCTCTCCTCTCTCTCCCCTTTTCCGACGACAAAGGAAAAGGTCTCCCTTTGATGAAGCCGCGTGTGGCAGGCGGCAGAAAGGCCTCAGGGATGATACCACTCCTTCCTGCGGATCTGCTGAATAGCCCGCCTCGCCCGGAATGGCAGTATCAGGGCTAGGCAGCACGGTACAGGACTTCCTTTCTTCTCTCCCTCCCGTTTTCACCCCCCTTGTTGTTGTTTTTCCTTGGCGGATCACGGATCGTCGTCACTATGGGGGAGAGCGGTGATGGCAGACCGAGTTTTCTACGGGGAGCGCGATCTTTTTGATGTGACTCTGCCCTTAAGGACCGTCCCTCAGTCAGTCCTTCATTCGGTCTTCGTCGCCTGTTGTCATCGCTTTTTGTCGGAACTCAATAAGGACGACGAGTTTAATGACCTTGTTTCCATAACAGAGTTAATGGGTGTATGGGCAATGATTTGGATTTTTTTCGATCTTGTGAAGTCACGGGCAGCCTGTCCTCCCTCCGTCTTCTTCCTTCCCTTCCTCCCTCCCCTTCGTCGTCTCTTCCTCTTCTTTTTAAAGACCAAAGCGATGTAACCTCTATACAACCTTCTGTATATGTTTTTCTTGCCCTTTGAAATGAGAGTCGGCTTCCTGAAAAAACGTTTGTTCGTTTGTTTTCGTCCTTTTTGAGAACGAGGATGACCAGTCAATCGGCTTGACATGTACTTTTTGCGCTAGCCAATGAATGATAATGCGATATGCTGGGTAAACTCATGGTTCTATCTTCGTCGCTTGTTGTCATCTCTTTTTCGTCGAAGCTCAAACAAAGGCGAATGGTCTGATGATGGATTCTCTTCTTCACAGGTCAAAGTTAATGAGTGTGTAGGCAACGAATGAAGCTTGTCTTATGGATCACGCACAACCTTTGCGCCCGCCTTTCTCTACCCCCTTTGTCTTCAACCTCTCCTTCCCTCTCTTCGTCTTTCTTCTCCTTCTCCTTCCCCCCTCCCCTTCTTCCTCTGTCACGGTGGGAATCAGAGCGATGGTACCTCTGCACAAGCTTTTTGCATATGTGCCCTCGCCTTCTGAGATGTGATTCGACTTTCTGGGAAAACCTGCTCATCCGTGGTATGCATATGTGTATAGAAGTTTTACGAGTCGTTAGATGATACTGCGATACCCTGAATGAACTCATAGGACCACGATTGGGTTCTTCCCACCAACTTTCTCGCTCTCTCTCCCCCCTGCTCTCCCCTTCTCCTTCTGTCCTTCTTCCCCCTTCGTTGAGAATCCGAGCCGCACAGGTAGATACATATATATTCCGCCTCATGAAGGCGTGGATCGGCCCTTTAAAGTACATCTTTTCGCCCTCCTTCGCCTTAGCAAACCAATTGACTCAACGTATATTATGGATGGGACGAGTGGTGGGATTGTCTGAAGTGATCTCGGAGGAAACGCGCACAGGATTCTCCACCCCCTTCACCTTCTCTCTTCTTTCTCCTTCTTGCCTGCTCATATCACGACACTGAGGAAATAACATGATTGATACTTTTCCTATAAATGGCATGATTAATTTTTTATAATTACGTGAAGCACGTAGAACTATGAATAGGACACGTCCAATAAGGCCTGTTAGGCAGTATGGAGAATTACGACCTTAGGATGCCACTCGCAGGGGGCCTTCGAGATACGGTGGGCCACGTAGTCATGGCGAGCCCGACCGAAAAACGCTGCCAGAAAGGTCTTTCACAATGAAAGACCGATATCGGTTTATCCGTGGATCGACGCGCCAAGAAACATCGGACGACAACCCGCTCTGGCATCTTACGGGTTACGGAATACACACTCTCTCTCCCAACGATGACGACGAACGAATGACCACCGGGGATAAACTCGGGAGCACATGCGGGCCGATCGCAACCGCAGCCTGCAACAACGACCTGACCTATGATTCGCTGAGCACACTGGAACACGAGTAGATGCTGGTTTCCACATTGGTAGCTGATGCCATACGATGATTCCCAAGCTAAAGGGTGTGCCGATGTAAAAATCGGAGAATAGACCAGGCATAGGGTCTCACGCCTAGGCGTACATGAAGTACACACACTCAAAACACACACACACACACAAGACACACACACACACACACACACACACACACACACACACACACACACACACACACACACTCGCTCACTTACTCTCACATACACACATGCACACACCCACACACACACACACACACACTCTTCTCCCCCTTTTCCCACAGCCCCCAAAGAGTTTCGCTTCAGCCCACTAGAGGAGGTGATATGAGCATCCCCCTATAGTGGACTTACCGTAGAATGCTCCTGTCTGTTGGTGGGGAGCAGCACCTGCTGGAAACCGGGTCCAGCGTCCCATGAGCATAATGAATGAAGTACCAGCCCCAACCCTACACACACACTCTCTTGGAGTTGTGTATAGCTAAAATGACAAAACATAAGCACAGCATAATCACCACCTTCCCCTTCCCGTTCCCCGACCATATCAACAAATAAACTACGGGCTGCCCATATGTGCCCTTAGGGTAAGTCAATCAACACAACCCTTTCAAAATTCGAATTGAGACGGCCGGCAGAAAAGATGTCCGCCCGGTAGAGGGCCAGATAGCTAACGTAGAGCCTCAGCCTCTGCACTCCACGGCCAAGGGTATATGGCAAAGGTGCCCAATGGCCGGGACAGGGCCAAAAGCAGAAGGTCCGGTCATTTCGTCGTGCCCCTGATGTTTTAGGGGTATCTGATGAAATACCCCAACTTCCGGTGGTATTGGAACAGTTCTCCTTTTTGAAAAAAAAAGGTATTGATACTATTGACCATTCGCACATCTTTGACGTACGATATATATATATATCGTATATATATACATTGATTTCCCCCCTCTCACCCGCGGTTGACCAATTGGCTTTTACCGCATTCGTGGGCTGTTTCTTGCACGCTCGTGCAACTCGAGAGGGTTTCGGAATTAGGGGCTTACCTGACCGATCGAGGTTTTGCCAGGCGCGGCGGTCCTCAGGCCCTGCTTTGGGAATTGGGCGCCAGGAGTTTCTCTCACAGCAAGGTGACCAAGCTACTGTGTTGGCGCGCCGCGGCTAGCTTGCTGCTGACCGCCTCCTCGGCTGGAATCAGGGGACAGCGCCTCTTGCGTCCTCGGCGCTTAGTGAGCTGGCGGGGGCAGACGCGGGAGTAGTGCGGCAGGGAGCGCGGGGAGCGTCTTAGCATGTTGGCTGAGTTCGTCACCCGTTGTCCTCTAGCATTCAATGTGCATGATGCATCGCGAGGTGGCTTGCTAGCAAGCTCGCGCTGGCTGGCGAGCTCACTCTGTATGGCCTGCACCGTGCCAAATCACATGGCTCACAAGGGCGCCTGATGGGCTGCGCCGTGCCAAATCACATGGCTCATAACCGTGCCTGATGGCCCGAGCCAGCGTGCGCTTGCACGGAGAAATCATAGCGTCGAACACCGTTGATCGTCCGGATCATTGATCTCATGTGATTGAACAATCGGATCACGATTCCGCCAGCAGCTGCGGTCGTCATCGGGCGCGGGTTTTCCTCCAGGACCCCCTTTACTCTTCCCCGGCAAGCCGCCTCGATGTCCCCAGCGGCCTTCGAATCCTTCGAATCCCGCGGAATCGTCTCGTCGTCTTTCCCGCCATCCATCGTGTATTCTATTGCCGGGGCACGCTTCCTCCCGCGTCGCCCGTCCTTGTGATACGCTCTCGCGCCTGCACGAATCGGATTCATCATGGCCAGTCAGGCGGCAGACGAGCAGCGTCCTTTGTGCTCCAGAGCACCTTGGCCTCTGTACCGATCACCTGGCGTGCTCAGAACATAGCTAGCGACCAACTCTGCATACTCGACATTATGTTTATATAGATCCTGTCACGCGCAGCTGGAGAATGCGGAGGTGGTTGGTACGGAGCCGGTGAGGAGAAGAGGGAGCGACTTTTGCTGGGGAGTGGGGAGTTACTGTAGTCGATGCGGTTGGAACGCAGCGGGCTGTGTCATCATAACTTGCATTGCCGCCATCATCTTTAACGGGACAGTGTTCCGTGTTCTGGGAAGATGTAGAAACCGTTTCACTCACGCCGGCGCAAGGAGGGCAGGAGAGCGAGGGAGAGCGCGCGCGCGAGCCGGGGACACTCACTGTTCTCGGTTGCCCTGCTGGGAACCAGCAGGTCGATTAGATCTGGCTCCTAGAGGGCAAAGTGGCATCAGCATCAGCAGCAGCAGCGGCATCAGCAGCAGCAGCAGGAGGAGGAGGAGGAGGAGGAGGAGGAGGAGAAAGTGAACATTGCGGCCATCATCTTTTAATAGGACGGTGTTCCATGTTCTGGAAAGACGTAGAAACCGTTTCGCTCACATCGGTGAGGGCAGGAGAGCGCTGGAGAGAGCGCGCGAGCCGTAGAGTGTTCTCGGTTGCCCTGCGGGGCACCAGCGGGTTGATGAGATCTGCTTCATAGAGAACACAGTGGCAGCAGCAGCAGCAACAGGAGGGGGAGGAGGAGGAGGAGGAGGAGGAGGAGGAAGTGGACAGAACCGGAAGGAAGGAAGCGGTATGGCAACCAAAGTGGATCCCCCAGAAGGCACGTGTCCACCTGGAAAACATCAGTTTATGATGTGGCGAAGTTTGTTCGAGATCGACACCAAGTACCTGCCAATCAAACCGATTGGAAAAGGTGCGTACGGAGTAGTATGCTCGGCGCGCAATACGGAAACGGGAGAGAAGATCGCAATTAAGAAGATCAGCAATGCATTTGAGAACGCCACTGATGCTCGAAGGACGCTGCGCGAGATTCGGCTGCTTCGTCACTTGTATCATGAAAACATCATCGCGGTGAAGGATATAATGAAGCCAGTGGGGAGGTACACTTTCAATGACGTGTATATCGTGTACGAGCTGATGGACACCGACCTTCATCAGATCATCCGCTCTTCACAGCCTCTGACTGACGATCACTGTCAATACTTTATATACCAGGTACTCGCTCGAAGTCTCTCCTCGGCCTTGTTCTTATTATTTTATTTTTTTCCCTTCTTTCCTCAGGGGTAAGTTGACACAATTTCTTCCTCTGTGTGACCCTCTTCCTCCAGCCAAGTGAAGGCTGTGTGAAGCTGCGTCCGCGCTATCATCTCAATGACAATATTTGTCGATTTCCTGCTACTGGAGATATCGTTGTGGTCATGGTGTCTGGGCATCTCTTCTCCCTTTCACTCCCAATTTCGTGTGCCTTTCTTCTTTCTCCTTGCTCCGGATTTCCCCCGAACATTTACGTTCGTCCTTTCGCCTCTCTCTCTCTCTCTCTCTCTCTCTCTCTCTCTCTCTCTCTGTGTCTGCCTGTCTGTCTGTGGTGGTGGCAAGGATAATGACGACTGATGGCCTGTAGGCTGCTCGTTTTATATGGTAGATTGGGAGAGAAGCTGGTTAAGGAAGTTTGAGAGGGTGCTGCAGTAGGGCGAAGAGGCGTATGTTGTTTGTCGAGTCGCTATTGTCATCTCTCAAGATTACGGGTGCTCCGTTGGGCGGTTTTAGATTTTTGCTTTGCGTAAATGACAGGTTTGTCTGGCATCTCACGCAGTTACAGGAGTGGGGTTAATCCCCCCCCCCTGCTGCAACTGGTTAAACAAGCAGCACTAGAACTGAAGGAATCGAAACGTCCTGCTGCAACTGGTTAAACAAGCAGCACCAGAGGGGGAGGGGGGGATACGCAGACTGTCGAGCGGCTAGCTGCTGATGTGTTGGGGGAAGTGCGGCACAGCAGTTGGCGTAGCTGCTGCACATCTGTGTGACGACACGTGGCAATTTATTACGGGGTCTGTACGTAATACGTAATATTGTCGGAAGTCACGACAGAGGTCCCCATGGCGGTCGTTCTGATTTCCCCCCCCTCTTCTTCTGTGCTGTTTTTTCGCTTTCTTCTCCCTCAGTCTCTTAGCATTCGCTTTCTTCTGGTAACCCAGTGGGGTCCAAGTCTTCGAGCATTTGCTCCATTTATGCGCTCTTTCATGGATAGTTTACAGAACAGGACAATGTCCAGTTCACACGAAGGAAGATAGATTCGGTACGTTCACTGATCTTTTGCTTTTGCTTTTGCTTTTGCTTTTGTTCGTCCTCTCTTCTCGGATCTCTTTTGCCCTCTTTGTACCTTTCCCCCCTCTTTGTAGCTTCCCCCCCTCTTCTTAGCTTATTAGCTTGGTGGGCCGCAATTCGTCATAAGGGCAATTTGTCTGCCTTGTTTTTTTTTTGGTTACGGTTTTAGTGACGTCATCGCCTTTTCAAAGCCTCAACTGCATAATTTTAAGCTTGCGCTTTTTTTTTTTTGGTTCCCTTTTCCTTTCACCTCACCGGACCGTCGTTCTCCGAAAGTGACGAGAGAGCATATGCGCAGATACTGGCGACGACGAAGTGGTAGCGGCGCCAGTTCAATCTCATCCCATATATTTATTCTCATTCGATTGACAGTGTAGCGCAGCAATTTGGACATCTCCACCGAATTGCTGCGAATTTTGATTACGACCGCGTACTAACCAATCTGATTACGACCGCGTACCAACCAACAGGTAGTCATGCCAAATCGTGACCGCTCGTAAGATGCTATCCCCTTTGGCGACGGATTGTGACCATGGCTGCGATTGCTATTGCTTTGTAAAACACGCCGAATCTCTTTCGTTATCCTCTCTTCCCCCCCCCCACCCCCCGCCTCCCTGGGAAATATCCGGTGACAGATAACCATTTCTCGATTTATGCGTGTCATCCATGCGCAGGGGCCATGCTGATCTTCTCTATCGTTCCAATGCTGATCTTCTCTCTATCGTTCCAATGCTGATCTTCTCTCTATCGTTCCAATGCTGATCTTCTCTCTATCGCTCCAATGCTGATCTTCTCTCTATCGTTCTATGCTGATCTTCTCTCTATCATTCCAATGCTGATCTTCTCTCTATCGTTCCAATTTAAGTGAATGTCGCGAGGGACAGGGTGAGCGATTGTGAGCGCCATGAAAGGGAGGAGCGAAGTATGGTTTTCAGGACCTGATGCGATTGCTTGCTCAAGCCCATACAAATAAACTATTCCGTCCCAAGTGGATTGTAACCATTAATAAGCTGAAGCTGAGATGAGATGGTTTAGTCATAAGTAATGTCTTGCAGACTTCGGTTGTAGTTAACTTAAATGCAGTCGTTTTTTTTGTAAGAGACATTGAATCTCTTTTGTTACCCCCCCTTAAGAGAATAATCTCTTTTGCTATCTCCTTTGGGAAATCATCGGGTGAGAGATCGGTAGCGTGATGAACGGGAGGAGCGGAGTATGTTTTCCAAGATCTGATGCGCTTGCTTGCTCTTGCGCGACTTGGCAACTCGATGGCCAGCTCACCACAACTGGATGCCAAATCCCAAAGAGTTGTGACGATCCGGATATGTTCATCCTTCTCATGTTCTTCCGATTCTCTCTGAGATATTACAGTATGATTGTCGAGATTGTCGAGAGCTGTAGTTGGTAATACAGTAATACTGAATTGATTGACTTACCGTGAGGGCACGGTGCGCAGCCCGTAGTTTGTGTGTGTCTGAGTGATGAACGAGGCATCCTTCGGTTGTTTCAATAGCATGATGATGATCATTGTGGCACCTTTTCCAACAAAACAAGAATGGTTGAGCCTCAATGAAAGCACGTGCGAGAGTACTGAATATGGTGATCTGATGATAATAACTGTGCCAGCCAATCCGAAAGTCGGTAATACAGTAGTCAGGTGTCGTTGTTATTAATACAGTAAAGTAAAGGTAAGATGTACGTGGTGGATTCAGTGATAATAACTGTACCAGCCGACCCGAAAGCCAAATCCAACTATCCCAGCTCTTATCAGAGTTTTTGAACTGTGCCGGGTCTCATCTCATCCCAATAGATTCCATTTCATCCACATCCATAAATTACGGTAGCTAATACAGCTGTAAGGAATGAATAGATAGAGACTTCTGTCGTTCTTTCCTTGCTTCCTTGTTTTTAACAACACGTTTTCCTCCCTTCTTTTCGGGCCGTTCTTTCGTTTCCCAGATGCATTCTATGTATAAATTTATTTCTGGTTTAGAACTATATGTATGTACACGTTATGCAAGTGATTGGATTTGGATGAGGATAAGTGGACCGAGTCTTTTCCTATCGAGCTGTATAGCGCGTTAGGTGGTGAACGGTTTATAAGCATGCCATGAGCAATTGCAGGTGTCACTGAATGGTATGTTGTAGAATCGGACGGATGTACTTACTAGTAATAATGTCAGAGAATACTCCGCCTCGCAAAAAAAACGAAACCGAAAGCTCCCATCTTCTTACTCTTTTGAAAGAGGGAGTAACAACCGTCTACGGTCTACCCGCTTCTCGTATTAGAAAATGAGGAATCACATTGCCAACAATTGCATTTTCTCTTTTGCCCCCGCTCTTTTTTTTTTTTTTCTTCTGGCGTTTTCTGCTTGGGTGGACGTACTTGTCAGCCACCCGGCAACACCCCTGTAAGTAGCGGGAGCTGGTTGCGTTTGCTCAAAATCCGTTCCTACGGTCTGAACTGTTCGCTTTACGCAGTCTGGGTTATCTATCCAGCGAGAGTAGAGTAGAGTAGAATAGAGAAGAGAAACGCCGTTTCAATTCTGTTTCAATTCTGTTCCAGACTCCGATCCGATTGGAGAGGAGATCTCTCCACCCTCTTTTCTCTCACGGCTGGGGGTTTGGAGAGGTGTCCAGGCTCACTCCTCTCACGGTGGGGGGGTCTGGAGATATGTCCACCCTACCCCCTCACCGTGGGGGTTTGGCGATTCCATTCTCCATTCGGCGGACGTGCTTTATTTATGCATTTTTTCTACGCTTCGTCTTAACGCGCCAAGGAGTGCCCTACCTGTACGCCTCCTTTTAATTAAAGTAAATTAAGAATCCAGAGCGTTCAGACTTTACCACTTTAAATTTCTTCCTTGTATATAGATGTATATATGATATATGGATTTTTTATTCCAATCTGGTTGGTTGGTTGGGCCGAGCATATGGTCGCTTTATCTGGATGATACTATACATAATAGCACGACCAGCCATAGAGAGAATGGGAATGGGATTTGATCGATTGATTGACATTGCTCGAAGAGCTGACGCTCCACCTGGACGGTGTGCAAGGGGATCTGCTGGATCAGCGTTTCGCCCATTGTCCAAGATTCCCCACTGGTGCCTCCCGCAGGAGTCCTGTGATAGTAGGGATATTAAGGGGTGCGCTAGGAGTATTGACGTTAGGATGGGTTGGGAGGTGGCCTCACCCTGTGAGGACAGCCATTGGCTGCCCGCTGGCAGCAATCACCGTGTGTCTGGTCCTTGGCCTCTTCGACACCCTGGGCTTCGTAATTAAAAAAAAGAAGGGGCTCTGGGCCTCGCCTCAGTCCCATGGTGGCTGTTACATGCTGAAAGCCTACACACGGGCCCCTCACGAGACCCGAGGTTGGAATAGGGCCCCCAGGTCGCGTCACCGCAACCTGAAGGCCCTATGGCATTTTTACTTGGGCCTGCATCAGAAAAACGCCAGCTTTAGATTATTTTTATAGTCTTTATTTTATTTATTTGCTGCTGTTTTTCTAACGGGTGTACTG